CCCAACTGTGGGTGGGAGGTGGAGTTTTTACATATTTGGGGGAAAATGATTTTTCAAGAAACTGTAATATATATATTAAAATATTGTTGATAAATCAATGCAATAGATGACATCGCAAGGTTGGGGGGGGGGGGGGGGGGTAATTAGGCTAGGAAGCGAAGCAATGCAGCCGTATGATAAGTATTAATAGGTTAGTTTGAATTAGTGCTTAGGAAAAATTTCATTTTGATGCGATTCCGGATCCAGATCCTCATTAGGAAAAAATTGATCCGGATTCCGGATCAATATCATTTCCTTAAGATTTGCTGAATTTGTTGTCTTATTTTTATGCTAAAGCTTGATGAACCATTCAGAAATCAAGAAATTTGGTAATGTTACATCGTCTTTAAGCAACATCCCCCCTACTGAACTTCTGACCTACTAACTTTCCGACCTACTGCAATATCGGACCTACGCCAGCTGTTTATTTTTGTATTATTGGTGGTGTATTTTGGTGCTAGTAGGTCGGATGTGTAGTATAGCGGATTTGGCGTAGGTCAGAAGTCGAGTATGGCGGATATGTGTAGGTCGAAAAATACACCACCAGAAATTTTTATAATCTCGTTTTTCAGTAGTTCAAATTTGGGTTTTGGGAGTAAAATTTTCTTTTTGCAGTTTTTGGTTGATATTTTGCCCCTTGGATCCGTGAATCCGCATATGTAGCAGACAACCCAGCTTTGCCTAGAAATTTTTAACCCACAACACAGCTTCGTTATATAGATAACGCATTCCTAGTAAATTACCAAGAAATGCCATCATATCACTGTTTATACTACGCACCTGCTCAAGGTTAGCAGCTTCAGTGGCATGTAGTCCTCGGACCCATGTTTCCAAATAGTTGACGGACATAATATCTACGAACATTTCAATTGCTTAAAAAAAATATTTAATTTTGTCATAAAGAGTTAGCCATGCACTAAAATTAGTGTTGTAAGTTATACTAATATGAATAATATTTTAGACAAAAGTACGAAAAGAACAAAATTAAGTATACTAAAACTTCCTCCAAAAAAAAAACATTGGTATATTCCTAGAGACCCCCAAAACCCCGTGCCCCCCCCCCCCCCNTGTACATATACAAAATTGAGGGGAGGGGTCCAAAAATCGTTCACTAGGACAGACCCAAAACATTCTCAGGGTCTGTCGATATTTGTCCCCCCCCCCCATATCATCTTGTACATGTTTTTAAAGCGTTTTATTGTGCATTGACTGGTTAGGACAGCCTTGGGAGCACATCGCTGCGGCTATATAATTGAAAATAAATAGTTGGAATAATTTATTTTACTATGTACACCCTTGATATATCAGAGGGGGGGTGGGGGGTTTGCTTAAATCTTTCTAAAAAATGTAATTGAGCCATCGATACAATCGATATTTATAATTCACACAGTTCAGTTCACACAGACAGACAGAGGAGACAGAGGAAGTCCGGGTCCGTCCTAGAGAACGATTTCTGGACTTTTCGCTGAAGACATTGACCTTAAAAGCGAATGTTGCCGTGTCTTTTCACTGAAATCGTTGTGTATTCCAAAGTTTGGTTTTAATTAATAGTTTCGCAGATTTGTAATAGCGCAGTTTTGAAAAAAATGCCGCACACAGTTAGAAATCTTGAAATTTCTCGTACAAATACGACAATATGAAAAAGTTTACAGGCTAATAAATGCATTAAAAATTCAAAAAAATGGGTATGGCGCGCATTACATTTCAAAGATAATGTTATTCCCTTTCGATTGAAATTAAATTTTAGCTTTTGCATGCGGTTACGATTATCCTTTAGTTAATCAAACATTGCTGGAAAAAACATAGTTTTTCTTAAAAATTTAATATTTTTCATCAGTTTTGGTAAAGGGCGCTTTATAAATAAGACTCTAAATTTTTTTTAGAACAAATTTTATGTTATTAATGTTGCGTAAAAATGCTTAATTTTTGTCCTCTAATAAATTAAAGTTATTCGTAGACGAGAAAAAAATGATTTTTTTCTTTAAAAACTAGGAAATTATACCATAATAAAAAATTTTTTGATACACATAGATCAGTTTAGATATAAATCACATTTTTTTCATTAAAAACAAGAAAAAATACTTCATTTTGACCTATAAATTTCAGTAAAAAAGCCTAAAAAATGACTAAATTTAAGCAAATCCAAACTATATCGACGTTTTCTCCAATTCAATGGGTTGTAACTAAAAAAAACTTTTAACAAAAAATGTAGACAATGAAACTAAAAAAGGGGTAGCAGAGCCCTTTTTTTAATTTTCGGCTTAAAAATACCCTTTTTAATCGACTTTTCTGATAAATTTCCGATTTTTACTCCAAAACCCTGGGAGCAACTCCAAAACCCTGAGAGCACTCCAAAACCCTGAGAGCAGCCACCCCTCCTACTCTGAAGTCCTGATGTAGTTTCCTTGAGACTACTCTCTTTGTAGTCCACTGTAGTCCTGATTCAAGTAGCATATTTTATAATGTATTCGTCTGTATATTTAGTTCTGTATTACTCTCTAAATTCCTGATATAGTTTCCTGAGACTACTCTCTTTGTAGTCCACTGTAGTCCTGATTCAAGGACCATATATTATAATATATCCCTCTGAATATTTAGTTCTGTATTACTCTCTGAAGTCCTGTGTAGTTTCCAGAGACTACGCTCTTTGTAGTCCACTGTAGTCCTGATTCAAGGACTATATATTATAATGTATTCATCTGTTTATTTAGTTCTGTATTACTCTCTAAAGTCCTGAGTAGTTTCCTCAAGACATGCCATGCCCTTTCACAATTTAGATAAAAGAGAAATATTAAGGTAAAATTATAAAAGAAAATTTTCAACTACTTTGAAAACAACACAACACCAGATTTTAACCCTTGCCATAAATCCCGGGGGGGGGCAAGAGGACTACTGCCCCCTCCAGGTATCGCGCCTGAATATGTGTCAATGAACAATTGATAAATAATCTGAACTGTAGGGACAGGGAAAAATTAAAGGAGTTGGGGCTCTGGGACGTTATTTACGATAAAGGTTAGATAATAAGAGGGTTGTAAGCCTAATTTCAAGTGATCCTCCGTGCAAACATGCCAGAATCACAAGAGGACACTTTAAAGCTTTGTCTGATCAAGTATGAGATAGATGTCAATGTTTCTAATTTTTAAAACTGATTATTTTCATTTGGGGTTTTTTACAAAAGTGACATACGCATTTCTACTGCAAGAAAAACAATATCTTCCACACCATTGATCAGATAAAGGTTACAAGGGCACCCTAAACCGTTGTGGATCGGACATTACCATCTTTGCATGGAGGAGGGTTACTTGAAATCACGCTTACAATCCCTTTAAGCAAAGCATGTACGTAAATTATGTTAGAGTTTGCACTGTATGTGTCATGCACTCCACATTCATCTATTTAACGACGGCTTAGTTTTTAACTTTCATACTTTAACTTTTCAAACATATCCTCATGCTTTTTATTAACATTACATATAAAAGTTTAACTAGAGGCAAATGCAATTTAGGTTTTGTAAACTGAAAACAAAAGTTTAAATAGAAATTTTGCATAATTATAGTTTGATATATCCAATCTTTGAACAGCCTTGGATGAGACTTTGTTTTCTCTTTTTCCAATATTTAATGGATTTTGAAGGATTTCCAGGAAACAAATAAAAATCAAAGAACTTGAACCCTTTCAAACATATTTATAGAGTTGGTTTGATTCAATAGATTTTTTATTTTTGAAATTTCAAGGATTTTGACAAACACAATTATTCAATAGTTCTAGGATTATTTTTTTTAACTACAAAGCTAAAATTATTTTATCTTCACAGATAACTTGGATTGGTAAAAAATATAATAACAAAAAATTGAACTAAAGATATTTTTACTGAAAATTTTTTTTAAAATTGTAAGTTATAGAAATAAAATAGTTTTAAATTTAAAAGTTAAAATTTATTTTATTTTAAAAATCCATTATTTTGACAAAACAATAACTTCAGGAATCTTACAAACATTGAGCAGGAGTAAGGGAGTTAAACCCTGGGAATCTAATGAAGAAGAACTTAACAAGGTATTTTTAATTTTCTTGTTTTCTGTGGTCAGAAATTACGAAGAGCAAGATCCGCTGAATATGGTTAATCAATTACTATTTCTTCTCCACCACTGGTTCAAGATGGTTGGAAAGGATAGTTGAATTAATCATATTTAGTTCAATTACCGCTGCTTTTTTTTAATGGATTAACAGCTATCTATAGCCATCAACCCATAGCATCCACCATTTCAGGGCTGTCTTTAATTCAACCTAAACATTAAAAAATTGCTACAGTTTAAAAACTAAAAACTGTTCTTTCCTATTTCACGGTTTTTTTCTCTTAAATTGAAAATGGCCAGGGGGCATAAAAAAGCAGGCTCGGGATTTTAAACCAATCTGTTTCTTTATTTTCATAGGAGTAAATTTTTTTGAATGAAAAAAAACACTTTTTATTAGACAAAGATTTCTCTCGAAAACTCTTTCTTTGAAGTCTTGTTCCCACATATTATATTTAAATAATATTTAACATATACAAGTACTGTTCATTCTTCAGGAACTGAGGCGACTTGGATTAAAAAAAGAAGATCTAAAACTGGACAAAAAACCATTATTACTAGATCCAGCAAATAATCCAATAGATAGAGTAAGTTTAATCTCTAAGTAAGTTTAATGGTTCAATCTGTAATATGTTTAGGTAAAAGCTAAGTATATGGTTTAATCTCTAATATGTCTAGATGAAAGCTAAGTATATGGTTTAATCTCTAATATGTCTACATGAAAGCTAAGAATATGGTTTAATCTCTAATATGTCTAGGTGAAAGCTAAGTATATGATTTAATCTCCAATATGTCTAGGTGAAAGCTAAGTATATGATTTAATCTCTAATATGTCTAGATGAAAGCTAAGTATATGGTTTAATCTTTAATATGTCTAGATGAAAGCTAAGTATATGGTTTAATCTCTAATATGTCTAGATGAAAGCTAAGTATATGGTTTAATCTCTAATATGTCTAGATGAAAGCTAAGTATATGGTTTAATCTCTAATATGTCTAGGTGAAAGCTAAGTTTATGATTTAATCTCTAATATGTCTAGATGAAAATTAAGTATATGGTTTAATCTCTAATATTTCTAGGTGAAAGCTAAGTATATGGTTAAATCTCTAATATGTCTAGATGAAAGCTAAGTATATGATTTAAGTTCTAATATGTCTAGGTGAAAGCTAAGTATATGGTTTAATCTCTAATATGTCTAGGTGAAAGCTAAGTATATGGTTTAATCTCTAATATGTCTAGGTGAAAGCTAAGTATATGGTTTAATCTCTAATATGTCTAGGTGAAAGCTAAGTATATGGATACCGGATCATATCTGAGACCTCACGACATACTCTTCTGCTTACAAAACACTAAATTTTCTGAGGAAAAGATTATTTCATGGTTTAAAAGGTATTTATAATGTGTTACACACAATTTTAAAACGATACTCTGTCCTACTTAGTTCTCTCAAACTAGATTAGTTTACACCAAAGTTTCCCCCTGTTGAAATAAACAGTTTTTGTTTTATAATACAACTATAACACTAGAAAAACCACGAGGAGAGATGTCAATAGAAAGTATTTCAAGAAAATTTCTTGCAAAAACATAAACAATTTCAAATAATCAAATGATTTCAAATGGGAATTGATAAATTTTTAGATTTTCTTTCTTTATATAAAGAGAATTTGAGGATGTTGACTGCAAACACTTTACAATTTTCAAATATCTACATTTTACCCAGGGAACAGAAATAAAGGGAAAGGAAATGGCGCTGGTCCGGCAAGAGAAAGCCAGTCGCACTGCTTTGCAGACCAGTACAGTAAACTTACAAACACTCTTCTGGTACAGACACACAACATGACTACAGTCAAGGAAATTGCAGAACAATGTCGTCGATTATAATTAAACTTGAATAATGAGTAGTTTATTGTAAACTTTAATCAAATTATATTCTTTGCATGAAAATTTGGCTTTATAGTGTTGACTTAAATATGTGAATAATATATTACATGTATATTAAAATTTTCCGGAACAGATAGCTCAGTTTGATAATTAAGAGAAAAAGAAAACGAGAGAATTCCTCTGTTTTATGATTCTCACTGTATTACAATTCTACATAACTCCTTAATAAACAAAGCTGTGCATGAAAGATGTATGGTTACTTAATTAATTCACCGAATTGCATCAATCAAATTTAAGCCAGAGATAATAGATTTCTACAGTTTCTCATGTTAAAATCGTGCTACAAATTGTTTTTAAGAACTGCAACTTAACAAAACTAACTATGAACTAATAAACAAACCGCTATTTAAAAAATAATGAACATAGTAAATTGATTTATTTTGATATTTATTTCTTGGTCTTTACACTAACTTTAACTTTCATAATCACTAAAAATTACTTGAAAAATTATGAATGAGAAAATTAAACCAGGTTGTTTTGTTATCATGATAATGTTGGTGTTTAATTGAACTGAACCACTTTTCGACATAAACCAAGCCATTAAATGTGATTATTTCAATATTTTCTAGGTTTCGACTTGAGTGTCCAGATGGACGGTTGAGTAGAACACATCTCAGGGAGCTCTTTCAGAAGGTCTTTCCAGACGGTGAGAAGAAGGACGAAGAAGATTGAGATCTTGGAGGAGGGGGAGGTGGGAGAAGAGAGAGTAAAGGGGGGGGAAATAGATTGAAACTGAAAGAATAAAAAAATTAAAGAGTAAAAAAGTAAAAAAGTTGTAACGTTTCATTACCCATTTAATGGAAAAAAAAGTTTTCATATTTTGATAAAATATCTATTCAGGAAACTCGTCGAAGATTACTGGCCACATATTTCGAATATTCGACAGTGACGGAAACGATTTTCTCGACTTTAAAGAGTTTCTGATGGCCATAGATGTCGCAAATAGAGATACAGGTTGGAATGTTTAATGAAGACCATAGAGAACATGATTATAATTTCTATCAACTATAACTATCCAATTAATAAGAATTAACAAATTTGGGTTTTTGAAAGATCACTGTTATTATGAAGCGCAATCGACCCTTGATAGCGAACATGACACGTTTTCCTATTATAATTTCGACAAACGACCATTTTCTTGCATTTATGTTTGGTTACCAATCCTTTTAAATTTAAGATTACAACGTTAATTTAGAAAACGGTTTATTTAAAGTTATTCCACGAGGATTGCACAAGCTTTCTGAAATCTTCAAATTAAAAAATTATCTTAGATTTGAAAATAATAAAAACCAACCCTCCCTGTTTCAGACGAGGACAAGCTGAAATGGGCGTTTAAACTCTACGACGTGGACAGCAACGGCGTCATAGACGTCAAGGAAATGGCCGCAATCATTGAAACCCTAGACTGTATTGAGGGTGTAAAACCGGGTAAAGTAAAATCTCAGTTTTAAAATGAATTTATGAAAATATTTGAATTGTTTTAAAGGAGTTATTCGGTATGATGAGAACGGAAACCCTGAACCTATTGCTGATACTAAAACCAGAGCTATGGAGATATTTGCTGTAAGTGAGAAAAATATAGAAATAAAGAATCATGAAACTTAACGAAATATTTTTTACAGGCCATAGATCGAGACTGTCAAGGAACTCTAAATGAAGAAGAATTTATAGAGGCATACAAAAAGAGGTATTTTTTATTGAAATGTTCACTATAATCTTAATGTCTGGTTTACTCTAAGCTTACCATGTGCTTCAAGGGATCTGTCTCGAGGTTATTTGAATTTTTTTTTATTTAAAGGGTTAAATCATGCCCAGTTCACAATAGTACCCTTTAAACTTTTCATGAAGATATCCTAGTTTTTTTATCTGAAAATTTCAATTTTCAATTTCAAGTTTCTCTCAAAAAGTCACAAGTGGATAAATATGGTATATGAAGTAAAGACCGAATTTATCTCTTTTCAAGATAGAAAAACGAGAATGTCTTCCTCATTTTAACTGAAATTAAGAGTTTAAGGTTATTAAAGTGAATTGACATGAAATACTTTTAATGTAGGGTCACTTGAATTACATCGGCATTCTTTTTCAGGTCCGGTGGTAAACTATATATTAAGTGTGATCCATCTGGTCTATGGTCTGGTTGTGTAATTAAAAGGTCTAACATATCTGGTCTAAGGTCTGTAACAATATTAAAAGGTCTGGTTTAATCGGTCTAAGGTCTGGTTTTCTATTTGTAAGGTTTTATTTATCTGGTATAAGGTTTATTATACTAAATGCAAGGTCTAATATATCTGTAATAAGGTCTGGTTTATCTGGTATGAGGTCTGTTATACAGTACATATTGTCTGGTATACTATGTATATTGTATATTGTACGAAAACGGTCTGGTTTATAGTCTAGTAAAATAAAAAATCTTCAATGATTTGTCAGATCTGAGATCTTGAAGAGACAGGACTCTATGGAGCAGAAGAAAAAAATGTTCTGCATAATACTCACCGGTCCAATCATACAGAAACATAATGATTTCTCAGAGGTTACCATTTTTTTCTATCAAACCTCTTCCTTTTCATCTGTTTCTAATGTTTTTTTTCTCCGCCTTTTGACAGTTAAAAAGTTAAAAAATAAGAATCTCATTTGGAACTGTTAAAAAATCTGTCTTTGCTTTGAGATTAATTTTTTTATTTGTATTCCAGGACAAGATGTTTGACCTGTGTTCCAGCGTGCTGACCAGTCGAGCTGGTATTATGGTGGAAACAGAGGATCTGGCGCACGTGGAGCTAAAATCTGTTTCCTCAGCAGAAACTGTTTTTACTAAATCTATCTTTGTCAGATTCAATGATCTTGCTCTCAGGTGTATTATTAAAGCTTTGTTTTGCCAATATGTCAAAAAGTAGTTTTTACCCCAGCATTTTATTTATTTATTTTAACTAGGATGAAAGTTTGGTCTGCCCGTGGTTATGCTGAGAGAAACAAACTCTTTATGGAGGAATGGTTGACAGACTTCAGATCCAACCTTCTCAAGAAGTGTCAGACCTTGATGAAGCAGGAGTATATCGTGAACGTGAAGACTAAGGACGGGGATATTATCGTGTTCTATAATGACAAGGTGGACGGGTTGCTGAAGAGAAGGGTTGTTGTGACCCAGGAGGAGTATGATGACCTGCTCCGTGTTATCGGAAAGAGTGAAGAGTTTGATCCCAGCAAGGATGGTTTAGCTAAGCCTTCTCCAACCGAACCAAACAAAAAGTTGGAAGATATTGCAGAGGAGGAGAAAACGTAGAAACTTAATTAATACATTTATTACTTTGTTATTCATTTATGATAAATATAAAAAGTGAAAATAAAAATATTACAATGAAAATTATTTAAAGCAGAATAGGGGGAGGTGGAGGTCTGGCTTTTGGTGGAGGTGGTCTTGATACTTTAACAGCTGGCAGAGGAGCAGCTGACATTTTTGGGATGGAGTCTACATTCAAAATGGCGTCAATTTTAGGATTGAATTCTTCTGTAGACTGAACTTGTTTGGTGACACTATTAGATGGAAAAATGACAACTTGTGTTGGAACTTTTAGTATTTGATAGTTTTCTTTTGTTCCATTCTCGTCAGCATCAATGGTTTCCTTTTTTTCTTTAATATCTTTATTTTCTTTACTTGTTTCCTTCTCTTTCTTTATTATTTGACTTTCTCCTCCATTTTCAGATTTTTGAAATTTTATTACTGTAATTTTGTTTTTACCATCTGTAGTAGTTTTTTTTCCATCTATTCTAGGATTTAGAATAGATTGATGTCCTTTCTCGTTGTTTTGAGTAGTGGTATCAACTTGCTTATCTTTTAAATCTTTGGAGTCAAGTTTTACTATCTTGACAATTTTTTTGTCAATTTCGATATTCTTTACAGCTTTACAATCAGGTTTTACATCAAATTCTGCTTTATTAAGAGTTATAGCATCCTTCGCAGAAGTACTTTCACCTTTATTTTCCTTTTCAGTTGTGCTGACATCTTTAGCATCTTTTACTGCTGTGCTAACACAGTTATCATTCTTTACAATTGTTTTGACACCTTTATCATCCCGTACATTTTTGCTGACAATTTGAACATCTTTTTCTGTTGTGCTGACACTTTTATCATCCTTTTCAATTGTGCTGACATGTTTAACATCATTTACTGTTGTGCTGACAAGTTTAACATCCTTAACAGTTGTACTGACAATTTGAGCATCTTCCAATAAACTCTTTTCTTTCTCACCATTTGCAGCTTTTGCAAACTTTATTACTGTTATCTTATTTATACCGTTCTTTGCAGCTTTGGTACCAGCTTCATCATTCAAAACAATGCCTTTGCTTTGAAAATCATTTGATACTCCAATCTTATTCTTTTCTTCCAAAAGTTTCTTGTTAATCTTTTCGTTCTTTAAATCAATGCAGTCAACTTTCATATTCTCTGAAGCTGAGTCGTTTTTAGGCAAATCTTTTACAGTTGTGAAGTCTTCTTTGATTTCCTTCAAAGCACTGCTAAAATCTGATACACCAGTTGATGTTGAATTGTTCTTTGTTTCATCTGAGCCTGTATTCTTTTGGTCAGCTTCAGGTTTTATTATACATTTAGTGTCAATCAATGCTGTTTGGTTAATCTTAGCATCATTGACCACTGTATTTTCAATCATACCTTCCTTTACCACATTTATTTCATTCTTAACATCCTTTAATCCTGGATTTTCAATTTTTACTTCTCTCAAAGGAGCAGGGTCGATCTTTAGATTATTTGAATCAGAACTCTCCACTGAACTTTCCATCATTTCAGGATCTTTTGATTCTGATAAATTCCAGGTTTTAACAGGTATAATGTTCTCTCCATTTTTATTTTGGGGACCGTTTGAAGTTTCTTTAGGTTGCACTAGTTTAACATTATTTTCTGAAAGAGTTTCTGTTTTCGTTTTGGACATTTTTTTCCTCGCAGCCAATGCTTTCAAATCCTTCATTGTGCTTTCTAGTTTTAGCTCAATAAAAGTAGGTTTTTTCTCTATCTCTATATTTTTCTTCTCTACTGCAGTTTTTGAAATATTTTCAATTTTTTTCTCATTTGCTGCCTTTGCTGGCGTTTTCATGACATCCCCATTAGAAACTTTCTTTGCATTTGAAGTTATGCCATTAGTATTTAGGTTGACTTGTTTAACTTCAATATCAGGCAGTCTGTTACTTTTGGATTCTACTATTTCAGGACGGTTTGTTTTTTCAGTGCTTATTTTAGTTTCAGGGGCCTTACTTTTGTTGGACATAGACAGATTTTTTTCTTTCCCAAAAATGTTATTTTCTAATAAAACTTGATGTGAAGAATCCTTTACAGAAGAAGAAATCTTCTCCTCTTTAAAATCTTCTTTTAACTGGAGATCTGAGGATTTTTTAGTCAAATCTTGAAATGTTTCTTTCGGTTTTTCTTTTTGTTGTGAAGGCTGGGGTTTTGGGATATTCTTCTGAGCATTGGATATATTTCCTTTCAGTGTTTCCACAAGCTCAGTTTGTCCATGAGCTGCAACTTTTAGCATTGACAGGGCATTGGAGAATCCTGGAGTTTTGGTCTGAGCTGGCCATTTATTCTTCTCCTGTTCAGTCCAGTGTTCATCTTCTTCCAGGTTATCTCTTGCAATAGGTTTATTTTGTTCATGTTTAGTATCTAGCTCAACCAAACTTGTAAATATTTCATCAAAATCTCTCTCATTTGTTCTAGATTTCAAAACCATTTTTTTCGCCATTTCCTTCATACGCATTATTTCTTGTTCTGCTTCTGACGCAATTTTGTCAATTTTGATTGTTTTCAATGACATGTCTTTCATTTTTTCTTCTGCTTGTTTAAATTTTTCTTCCTTCTTCTTCCTTTTTCTTTCTTTATCTTTGTTTTTTAAGGATTCATAATCGTCAACTTTTTTCCCATTCTTATCTTTTATAATAGGCGAATTTGGTTTTGGTTTTACAACTACAGGAGGTTTGCTGATAATCTCGTTTTTCTTATTTTTCTCCAAGTCGATTTTTATGTTCTCATTTATTTTCTGTTTTAGAGCAGTAAGATATGCTTGATCTTGTGCTAGAACTTTAGACTCTTCTGCATTTATATCAGAAAATAAAGTATTTATTTTGGCACTCCAAGCTTCATAGTCAAAAGGTTCAGAGGCAACATTCTCCACTTTTTCATTCTCTTCCATCTACAAAAATTTCAGAAAAATATTTCATATATTTTGTCTTCATTGACTTCATTTTTTATATTTATAATTTACCTGTATGGAATCAGATTCATCCTTTTCTTCTTTAATACATTCAAATTTATCTTCTTTCTTCTTTAACTCCTGTTGCTCAGCGGCAATCCTGCGGCGCTCCCTTTCAGCTTCTGCTTCTGCTTTCTTCTCCAAAGCTTTCTTCCTTAACTCTAGTATATATGAGTCAAAATCATCTTCGTCTAGAGTATCACCACTGGTGGAATTATTCAACATAAGATTTATATTAAAAGTGTCATTTTGTTTGATTTCTCTTAGAGCTTTCCAAACATTTTCCTCTTCTTCTTTCATCGGATTTGTCATCACATTTTCTGCTTTTTCAGAATCTTTTGCTCTGGTATTTTCTTCTTCTTCAGAAAAATCATTGTTAGGAATATCAATAGCTTCTGCTGGTTCAAATTTCAGCTCAGGTTGACCATCCATATTTTTTGTGTCATTATCAACTTTGTTCAGAACTGCTAAATTCTTAGTAGCTTTATCTGGAATTTTATTAGATAAAGCCAAGTCATCAAGATGAGCTGGGACAGAGGAAAGCATTGAAGGAGTGATTTTTTCTCCATCCTCTGCCAAAGTTTGCATTATCTCTGGACCCTTCATTTCCTCCACTGTATTTTTATCTTGAGATTCCATTGAAAGGATCATAATCTCTGGATCATCTATTCCATTTGCAGTTTCTGCATCTTCAGCTACCATTGCAAGCAGCATTTCAAGCTCATCCTCTTCTTCCTTTAGTTTCTGCTTCCGCTTCTGTTGGGCCTCTTCAAACAACTTGATTGCTTCTTCTTGTTTCTTTTTGTATATCAGCTCTTTTTCTTTTTTCTTCTTTTCTTCTGCTTGTAGTCTCAACTCCTTCTTCCGAGCTTCTTCTTCTTTCATCATATCAAGCTTCTTCTGCAACTCCTGTTCTTTCTTTTTTCGTTTTTCTTCCATCTCATATGCCTTATTTTTTTCCTCTTCCTGTCTTTCTTGTTTTCTTCTTTCTTTTATAACTAATTCTTTAGCTTTGACCTCTTCATGAAAGTTTTCTAAATCTTTCTTCATTGCTTCAACTTCTTTCTCCTGATGGTCAATTAGTCTGGATATTTCCGCAGTTGAAAGAACATTCCCAGAAACTTTTTCTAGCAAAGCATGCTCTGTTGATAGTCCTTTCAGAGCTTTAACATTTTCTAGCATATCTTTATTATCTGCCTTTAGTTGCCCTAATGCAAGTGAACTGTTTGCTAAAGTATGTTTAGCTAACTCAATCATTTTCCTTCGCTCCTCCTTCATTTCATCAGACTCATCTTGCACAACAGCTGCAGATTCTCCGAGGTTCAGAGCTTCATTATCCTTTACAGATTCTACAAAGTCCGACTTGTAGATATTAACTGCTTTATCTCTTCCAGTAATATCTTCAGTCTCATCTTCCTCATCATCTGCAACCTTTTGCTTGCAATACATATTCCACAGGCAGTGAGATATTCCTGAACGAGCTTGGAGGAAGAATGCATGGGGTTTCCTAACATGCTTTTCTAATTGCTCGCATAGGCTTTGATATGCCAGAATGGCGTCTTCAAACTTTTTGCTCAACATATTAGCTTCAACGGTTTGCCTAGCTTTAATAATATCTCTCACAATTTCCTTTTTATCCCCTTGTCGGTTTACATACACAACTTCTTGTTCAAAGTTTGGTATTCGCGGCAACTCATCTGGTATGCCGTCTTCTAGCGGCCATTTTCCGACACAAGCGGGGCATTCGCACGCAAACATAAAATATTTCAAAGTATGATACTGTCTTTGATCAAGCGTAGAGCTGCGGAAGTGAACTGTGTATGAATCTGTAATCTCCTCTCCCTCTGGAATATGTCGTCCAGCCACAAGAATAGAGTTCTTGTTTAAACTGCATCGGATAGTGTTGGAGTCGCAGCTATGGTTGACCAGGGCCATGCTGGGGTTGATGGAGGTCCCAACCTTACTCCACTCAAACATACTTGACATTTCAAACACTGAGTGAGAATTAAAAGCTTGAATGTTGATGAGCTGATAAATATATCTGAGCATAAACAATTCCATATCGTCCATCACGGGTTTACCCTTCACAAGCACAGGTTTCCCTGAAATAGCAATGCAAAAATATTCAAAGGGACTGTAAGTGTAATTTCAAGTTACTCTCCATGTTAAGATGGCCATGCCCGATTTACAACAGTACCCTTGGAACCTTATTTCTGTGAGTTTCCCTATTGCTTCTTATAAACAAGTTTCTTTCGCAGAGAAACTGCAAATGAAAATAAGCAGTTTAAAGAAAAAAAAAACATTGATATCTAATGCATAATTGATCAGATAAAGGTTTCAAGGGTACAGATGAAAATCTTAGCATGAGGAGACACTTGAAATTAAGCTTATGGTCCATTAGATTTGTTTCTTCATTTTGTATTTACCTGTATTTCCAAAATATCCAGCAAACTTTAGAAACCTAACAAAGAAAACCGCAAGAACTGAATGCTTCACCATAACATCATCATCCAAATCATCCTTATGAGTTTCTAGGTTTGTCAAGGTTCTGTAGTCAGAACTGAGGTATGCTCTGCCCGGGAGAGGATGAACGGGTTTAGATATATCCATGAACTTCTCTAGCTCCTGTCTCTTCTCAGAAAAGTATTGAAGAGGTTTCTGAGTAACAGCTCTAAGAGCCATGAATAGACCAAACACATCTCTACCTTCATACTCAAACATCTCATACAGTTTCATCTGACACTCATACCTACACAAACCAATATATTTAAAACGTAATCAGTTATAATTATGGATAAATCACAGAGAACAAGACAACCAAAGGTCAAAACTTTTGGTTTGCTAAACCCTGGGTTAAACAGTTATCCGATCTTTCGTCGTCCGAGGATATCATGTGGTTGGAACTGTAATTTAGGGATCAAACACCTCAAACTTAAAAGTTGCCATTGTGGATATCAGGATTAAACGGAAAAGTTATGACCTGTAGTCAAATAAGCCAAGAGGTTTACAAAGTTAATATTTGATGGACAAATTGTTTTTACCTGTGATAGGTTTGAAGTCCAATGGTTTTGCATTCCTTGGAACAAAATACAACAGAACAACAATTCTAAACAGAATATTTTTAGCTTATTTTTATAATCTAATCAGGAACAGAAGCTAAAACAAGTTCTTATGTTATATAAATGTTTATCCTAAAAAGTATAAATCAGCTAGTGAGGTAAAATCAAAAGCCAAGGCCTTGTGACACTTTAAGATTGACCCAGCCTTGAAAATTGATACAACTTTTCATAACAGTTTGGATCAATGTGCCTTTTATACTTACATCACAAGGAAGTGGAGCTCTGGTAAACCTGAAGCACTGAGTACAATGAGAACTGATAGATTCAGGTTTATCTGGGCACAAGATAGAACAGATAGGAGAATCAACACAGATCAGCTCACCGGCCTTTATACATCAATAATTTTAATTAAAAGGCATGTCAGCGTAAATTTGTATCACCCTTTCTTTATTTAGAGTGCCATCAACCATTCACTGCAGGACTTTAAAAATGCATTTATTTAATTTTATATAAACTATTTGTCTTTACTACAAAATCAAATTGTTCTCACCCCTATATCTTTGCAACCTGCTGATATTTCGAACTTAGATTATTTGACATAACAGAATTCAGGTTTGTGGCTAAAACTCAATTCCTTCATATCCTTGCATTGCATTACAGATTTTGGGAAAACTTACAGATATACAGTTTAACACCTTTCAAGCTACACATATTTTCTATTTCAGTTTTATAAACCGACGAGCTCTAAACCATAGTTACCTAGATTATCATATTGTTTATTATTTAATATGCCCAAATTTTTTCAAATTTTTTTAAGACGGATTGTTTAGTTTTAAAACAACATATCAAAACATAAAATTGTAAAAAAAACATTTTTGAGAAATACATTCTGTACTGTAAATAAATCAACTTGAGTTCCTACTTTGATATCTCTTCGTGCTTTTATGGTTCGTCCTTTCTCAGGGTCATAACAAACAGCTGCAGATTCAGAGAAGGCTGGGATCAGCGGATTCCGTTCTGAAAAACACGATTCCAGTTCTATACATACAGAAATAATCTTGAAATTCGTAGTTTTCTAACTTTGATGGAGAAAGATAAGTTTTCAGGGAAAGATGGGTTTCCAAGATATTAAAATCATAAATTACATAAATTGCAAATTACTTCCCTCTTTCATTCAAGTATTCTGTAATTAAGTATGGATCAAACCGGTTCAATTTTAATCAAAACAGATAGTTTTAATCAAACTTTGATTCAAGCCCCAAATATTTTTCTTTTCCTTATCTTAACGGAACATTAGGCTCTTACAATACTGGAAACCCAACTAAAAAATAATGGACTTAAAAAAGTATTTTGAATATTTTATAAGAAAAATCTCATAGATTTAATTTTGTAAACACTTCGTATTTATCACCAGATCCCATTAATAGTGTAAACAATTGCTATGTACGGCACTGTACAGGGTTTAGTTTACATACTGACCCAAAAGACATATTTGATTCAGTGTAACTGTAATAATTGCGACGTAAACTTTACTGTACCTTTTATTTCTGGTAATTCCAACTCCCGTACTTCAAGATTGGTCTCTATATTAGATTCCTTGGCTGCAGTTTCTATACTTGTCATTATATTTCGTAGGAGCTCCTCCTTGGATAGGTTTCCTCCTACTCCCTCTCCTCCTTTTTGGTTAGATTTAAGAACCGCAGCTGCATCCAAGTATGCTCGGATATTCTCAGCCCACTTGTACTTGGTACTTATCTACACAAGCACAGTGATAACCAGCAAAACTCTGGAATAGAAAGACGACTTTTGAAATCAATAAACAATTTAAATAGACACATTTTATTTAAGTGAATTAATAAGTTACTGGTAAAACTATTTGCTTTTTAAGAATATTAAATACGGTCAAGTATTGCTTTAATGTCGTCTTCCTATTCCGCAGTTTTCTGGTTATCATTGTACAAAATTAAAGGAGAGTCCGGCTGTAAGTGTACTATAGTAAAAAAGAGATTTTCGAATTTTTAAAAAAAATTGGTGAAAAACCATATCAAACTTTAAAAATTGTTTTATGCTATTTGTGAACTGTTTAGTTTAACTTACTTATCTACCTAGATGATTCAGATAGTAAACTAGAGATCAGGAGGAGACGATCCTACAATACAATATCAGAACAACAGAAAACATTGTTCCAATATCAGACGAACCAGACATCTATACTTGTTAAAACAAGAGAGTTTAGTATTTTTACCAAAAAGATACAACTTTAAGTATTTATATCAGAAAGATACAACTGTTAAGTATTCATACCAGAAAGGTTAATATATAGGTACAATTTGGAGTTATTATTATAACAGAGAGATACTACTAGCTTTTAATCATTTTCAGAATGCATAACGTAAGTACCCTTCAGAAAATATTAGAAAGTATGAAGAATTAACAGTGCAAATATATATAAAACACCATTAATTTGGAAGAATTTACCGCAAACTCTTAATTTTTAATCCCTATAGCTTTACAACATGATAAGGCGAAAATATTTAGATTTAAAACTTGAACTGCGTTTTCTAGCAGAATTCATAGTTGAAATTCAAAAAATCTCTAAATCAGGTTGTGAAGATATAAAAATTTGAAACTTGAGTATGAGGAGAGTAATCAGTTCCTTTGTTTACCTTTGTTGTTGGAGCGCTTAGTATTCTCTCCATTTCATGGTTTAGATAACAATCCGTATCCTTCAACCTCTCCTGGAGCGGAGACAGCTTTGTCGTTCTCTTGGCAGACTTGGAGCGCATTCTCTTCTTAGCTCCGCCCCGTCCTGCTGCTCTCCGTCCTGTCTCACGGGATTCATCTCCCATTCTGATCAAATATCCATCAAGAAAGAAGAATAAAGAATTATGGGGTGTCATCAAATGATAACCCCCCCCCCCCATCTTCATCGTAAAATTTATATAAAAAATGAAAAAAATATGAAATTCTGGTTCATTTCAAGGGAATGAACATTTAAAATGTTTTATTTTTAAGACCATAAAAATACAAGATGGCTTAAATGTTGTCCTTCATATTCCACAGTTTTATGTGTCCCACTGTATAACATGAAACAATATTTTGATAACTCTTTAGAGTAAACAAAACATATATCGGTTTAGTTCAGCATTTAACAAATGAATAAAATACTCCTCACCTGTTTTTATATTTTCTTCTCCGTTACATATAGATAACTCCGGGTGTACGTGACACTAGGTATAGTTTGACCTGCTCACCCAGACTAGGCTAGTTTAAGCTGACCCACTCCCTCTATTCTCTTACTCACTGGTCTGTAACTTTCCTTTCATACAATCAGGGGCATATTGGGAGGGATAGAAATAAGTTAGAAAATATAAATATACAAATTAAGGTTCAACTGTTGCGAGTAAAAAACTTAAAAAATGTAAGAAAACTTGTTATTTTTGTTGTTTTCCAATTTTTGCGTTCTCCTTTCATGGTCTTAGAAATCCTCATTAAAATTTTTGAAATCAAAATGTGATAAATTTCAATATTTCTGAGACGTAAAAAAAGAGTTATGAACTAGTTCTAGTTTTTATGCAGTTTTATGTTTTATGCTTGCATATACAGGTCAGAATGCATGAAAGTAGGGGGGGTGGGGGTGGGGGGGGCTGATATGGGATGAAATTAAAATAGAAATATAATTTTTAGATTTTTAGGGAAAAGGGTCATTATAGGGGTTTAGTTTAGTGTATCTAGGGAAGTTACAGGAATGCAAAAGGGAGGGAGAAAATTAGAAAGTTGTATTAAATAGTTTAAACGTATATTACAAATATTCAGGACTCTCACTCGGGGATACATTTCTATACCCTACTCAGTTTTAAGTTTAAATAGTTTTGAATCCTTACAATACGTGTTCCAGAATAAATTGTCATCAAATAAACGTCCACGATAGTTGGTATTGTGATAAGGATATAGATTTATAGAGATTAAAGATTCTCTTTTCGGCGCTAAAAGTAGGAGCTATAGAAAAATTTCCTATTCTCTTGATAACCTAGAAACAAAGGAAGTAATTTTAAAGAAATAGAAAATTTTGTCTTCATCTTAATCATCTTTAAGAATTAGAAGGAATTTATTTTGGGCTAATTGCATAGAAGGAATAGAAAGGAATTTAATATGGTTTAATGATCTAGACGGATTAGGAAGGGATTGTCTATGGTTTAAGTATGTTGAAGGATTAGAAAGGATTGTCTATGGTTTAAGTATGTTGAAGGATTAGAAAGGATTGTCTAACAATAACTATTTGTAAACTGTTTAGTTTAACTTACTTATCTACCTAGATGAGGTACAATAACTATTTGTAAACTGATTAGTTTAACTTACTTATCTAGCTAGATGAGGTAGACCAACTGTTACATATTAAAGAGACTTTAAGTATAATTTCTATTGTCCCTCGATGCAAATGTCCGATGACAAAGCCCAATTAGCACCGTTACCCTTGAAACCTTTATCTGATCAGAAATGTGGAAGGTAACGTTGTTTTCTGACTTAAACAGTTCTGACTAACGACAAAATTTATTTTTAATTAATTAGACCCACTTTTGTTCTGATGGCCTAATATTCACAAAATCATTAATTTCTGGATTCTTAGGATTTTTTAATACCTGAGGTTTTCCAGTCCTGTTTGGAGTATGATGGGACAACAAAAAATCCATGAGCTCCGTGTGTAAACATCCATACTCTAGTGCTGTAGACAGATCCCGGAGAGCAAGGTTGGGTTCTCCGGTAGACAGGAAGAATGCTGCTCTTCTAGCCAGAGTGTGAGCTATTCCTTTCCCGGAGCTGAAATAGAATTTTTTTAACTCAACCTGTTAGGATGTTATTGTTTTACTTTGGCTAGATTATATTACTGAAACTTTCATTTGGGAAATTAAAATTTACAAATGTAAAATGTACCTAAGCATTTCACATCATTTACAGTAATTCTTTGCCACAAACTCTGATTTTCTTATCCATCTTTGCAACCAAATGTCTTACTTTGAAATTTGAGTTTTTGGCAAAGACTCAATTCCTATAGAAAGTGTGCAATGAAGAATAAAATGAATCTAATTTTAAGTTATCTTTATAGTTTTATATGATTATATTATGTGTGAGAAAAAAGTGTGATTAGTGTTCTCTTGGCTAAAATTTTATTTTATTTTGCTATGTACTGTAGAATAATCTTGTACCTGTACATTAAAGCCCTGTTATAGTACTCCAGAACCAGATCATTTTCCCCGGCAAGGAAATGTTCTGAACCTTGCTCAGATAATTCTCGGCGGATCTGAGAAAACAAAATCTTATTTTTAGAAAATCCTGTTGTGAACAAGGATGTAATGCAAGGAAAGTTATTTCAGAAGTGTACACATCTTTTATGCAGTGTACTGTGTCTGGGCGGTAATGTAAACACAAGACGGATGTCAAAGCCTGACGAGCCTGACATGGGATCCATCTTTCACATTAAAAAAATCAATGAAATATTCTGGTCATAGGAAACTATTATGTGAATTATCAAAATTATCAAAATTTAATGCTTTTAACCTCCTTGGATACTAAACGAAAACTGATGCATCTATTCTTGTTTACAAATTCCGCCCAGAGAGAACTGGTTTCAATATGTACGCAGAGTATACACGACCGCAATTAACTTTCTTTGCATTACACCCTTGGTTATGAAGATCTTTTTAAACATTAGAAATTTCAAGGCTTACACTAAAAGATATTGCAAGTTTGTGGGATTACAGACATAATTTCCATTTAAAAAAAAAAAGATTGGTATGTCCGATTCACAATATTGTACTCTTTAAACTTATCTTTAAACCTGCTGTATTCTGACAATTTTCCTCATAAGGTTTAAGATGTTCATGGGTCTCAAGAATTTGATTTTTGAAAGATATTTTAAATTTTCAATATAATTAAATTTTCAATTTATTTAAGGCTGATTGGGAATGAAGAGTTTATTCCCCAATGAATAAATATACCATTTTTTCAAATAAAATTGTTAAAAGCACCAAATAACAGTGTTTTCTTACCCTCGAATCCTTGTTCCTGAGCTGGTTCGGCCAAACCCTGGATATATCCGTCACATCTTCAGATAGTAAACTAGAGATCAGGAGGAGACGATCCTACAACACAATATCTTCAGATAGTAAACTAGAGATCAGGAAGAGACGATCCTAAATCCTTCCCCCTCTTTCCCCCACTTCTTATTCATTAACCCGACCTTAGCCTGCAGCCTGCAACCCATCTACCGGCTTATAGGCTATTTAATTGCAAATTAAACTAATCAATTTTACTCATCAGACAATTTTTTTCCCAAAAAATATTAAATTACAGGATGAGAAATGGTGCAGGGATAGGTAGGTTAATAAATTATATTTAAAGAGGGGAATATTTTCCCCTCTCACTATTGAAGGTATATTCCCGGAGTTTAACATTGAATATAAATCGAGAGATGCCCGGAATTTCACACAACACACCTAGCGGAGAGAAAACTAAGGAAACAATAAAACGACAAGAAGGAGAGGAGAGAGAGAGGATTGGTGGGGGATAGATTGTTTAAAATCTAATTTTACAAGGAGTTTTTCCATGAAAAATCAGGTTTTTATCAAGTATTTGATATTTATTTCCAAGGATTTAATTGAAGGACGTTTATAGATATTGCAGGACTGAAGGTAATAAACTAAACCTATAAAATAAATTAGGAGTGAAAAGAGGAGGGAGGAATTTAGGGAGGTAGAGCAGGTATCAATGATAGAAGAGGGATGAGAGAAGGAGACGGATGAGAGGAAGGAGAGTGATGTAGGTAGGAGAGGGATGAAGGGAAGGAGAGGGATGAAGGAATGAAAGGGATGAAGAGAAGAAGAGGAATGAAAGTAAGGATATGGATGAAGGGAAGGAGAGGGATGAATGGAAGGATAATGATGAGGGGAAGGAGATGGATGAGGGGAAGTAGAGGGATGAAGGAAAGTTGAAGGATGGAGGTACAGAGAAGGATGGAGGTACAGAGAAAGATGAAGGAACACGGAGAGGATGAAGGAACGTAGAGGATGAAAGAACTGGAGGGATGAGGGAAAGGAGATTGATGTATTGAGGGAGAGGGATTGGAAGAAGAAGAAGGATATGAGCAAAAGGAGAGGAATGAGGAGAAGGATGATAGTGAAAGTGAGGGCTGAGCAAAAGGTGATGGGTCAGAAAAGGGATAAGGGAAGGAGAAGGCTGAGTAGAAGGAGAGAGATGATCGAAAGGTGATGGATAGGAGAGGGATGAGGAGAAGTAATGGGACAGAGAGAGATGAGAGGAATGAGGGAAGGAGATTGATGAGAGGAATGAGGGGAAAGAAAGGGATGAGTAGAAGGATAGGGATGAGGATAAGGATAGGAATGGGTAGAAGTACAGGTATGAGTAGAAGTACAGGGATGAGAAGAAGGATAGGGATGAATAGAAAGAGAGGGATGAGTGGAAGGAGAGGGCTAGGGAGAAGCATAGTGTTGAGCAGAAGGATAGGTATGAGTAGATGGAGATGGATGAGGAGAAGGATAGGGATGAGTAGAAGAATAGGAATGAGGAAATGGAATGGGATGAGGAGTAGGATTGGGATAAAGAGAAGGGTAGGGATGAGGAGAATGATTGGGATGAGAGGTATGAGCAGAGGGGAAAGAAAGGGACGAGTAGACGTATTGGGATGAGTAAAGGATAGGGATGAGGAGATGGAGCGGGATGAGTAGAAGGATAGGGATGAGTAAAGGATAGAGATGAGCCAAGGATAGGGATGAGTAAAGGATAGGGATGAGGAGAAGGGTAGGAATGAGGAGAGGGAGAGGAATGAGGAGAGGGAAAGGGATGAGATGGAGAGTAGGGATGAGGAGAAGGGTAGGGATAAAAAGAAGGGTAGGGATGAGGAGAGGGAGAGGAATGAGGAGAGGGAAAGGGATGAGTAGAAGAGTAGGGATGAGGAGAGGGAGAGGGATGAGGAGAAGGGTAGGGATGAGGAAAGGGAGAGGGATGAGTTAGAGGGTAGGGATGAGGAAAGAAGAGAATTTTGAAATATTCTGTATGCTCTTGGCCCGTGTGTAAGGCCAGGATTGTAAATGTATGTCATATTAACCTTCAAATATATATTCATTGAATATATTAAATATAAACATTATCGTAGTATTCACAACTAAACAGTATACACACTTTATGGAGAAATAAATTTTAAAAATTCCTTACAATTTCCTCCTTCTACTGAATAATTCTCTAGTTCAAGTAGATTTTAAATCTTAGCTCGTGAAATTTTTCATCAATAACTGGAAATTAGTATCCTTTAAGCCATCAGTTTTTATCATGTTTTATATCTTTTATTTTTCCAGTAAGATCGGTTTTACAATTACAAGAAAAAGTTTTACTTTTTTCAGAATTTTAAATTCAAATTAAGATCACAAAGTAGTAGTATTAAGACACATAAATATAAATAAATAAAAATATAAGTAATAAAGACATAAAAATACAGGGTGTCCCTGAAAAAAGGGCGGTAGAGCTTTTTGAATTGTTATCTAGATACAAATCATTTGTTTAATAAGTGCATGATATGTAAAGATAAGCATTAATAAGGAAACACAATACATAGATTAAACATCTAATTGCTTAAATGTTTCTAAAGAGAACCAGTTTTCTGGTGTGGTTTTTAGGGCCCCAAGGTTTGCCTGCAGTGCAAGAGTTATCACGTGTGGTTTGCATACACACCAAGAGTTATTACGTGTGGTTTGCCTGCACGCCAAGAGTTATTACGTGTGGTTTGCTTGCACGTTAAGAGTTATTACGTGTCGTTTGCTTGCAAGTCAAGAGTTATTACGTATGGTTTGCCTGCATGTCAAGAGTTATTACGTGTGGTTTGCATGCACACCAAGAGTTATTACGTGTGGTTTGCCTGCACGTCAAGAGTTATTACGTGTGGTTTGCTTTCACGTCAAGAGTTATTACGTGTCGTTTGCTTGCAAGTCAAGAGTTATTACGTGTGGTTTGCCTGCATGTCAAGAGTTATTACGTGTGGTTTGCCTGCACCCCAAGAGTTATCTGAGCAAAGACGGATAATTCTCAACCTCTTCCTCAGATATTTCCCCGCCTCTTCTACCTAGAGTATAAATTAAATTTACATTTTTTTATCCTTATTTTAAAAAATCCCGAATCTGGATAACCCTTGAGCGAGGGGAGAAGGCCGACCACATCCTTTTATACATCCAAACCACATTCTCCACATTTTCTCATCCGAAACACCTCCGAAACAACATCCATGCTTTTTTCTCTTTTAAATGGGCTAATCTTGGGAAATGTGGCCGTTTGAATAAATGAGGAGAATATGATTCGAATGTAGAAATAATGCGGTTGTCCCTTCTCCCCTACTTGAATACCTGGTGAATAAGATTACTCCGCTCTTCAACCTTGAGGTTCGGACACAATTCCAATGATCTCCGTCTTGCCTCGATATGCTTCATTACAATACTATCACTCATGTGTTTACATTTCTAAATGAATATTACCAACGTTTAATTTATCTTAACCCTACATATTCCTGGGATGAGTTGAGGGGGGGGGGGAGGGTAAGTTTCAGAGTTAACCGTTTAACATGGTCAGTTTAACGGTCTTCAAAGAGAGAGGACCTATTGAATTTACGAAAACGGGATTTTAAAAAAAAATTCTCCTTCTCTTAATTGTGCGTTTGTTAATTGTCCTGGAACCCTCTGTTCTTAATTTTTTGTAGTTCGTCCCTCTCCCTCTTTCTCTCCATACGTGATGCTCAATCTCCCAGACAATTATTTTCTTTTATACTTTCCCTCCCTCCCTACCATCCTCATCCTTGCTCACCATACTCATCTTGAATCCTAGAATTGATTTAGCTCCGATATGTGTCATCTGAACCTTGCTCTCTGATCCTCTCCTTGCAAAATATATTAGCATCATTCTCAAACAATCTAAAATATGTATTCATCGATTTAGAAATTTTATTTTCCATATTTTTCAATTTATCACAGTTTCCTTTGACAGAAAGATTATAGATATTTGTTTTAAAAATGTAATTATGATATATTTAGATTTTTCAAATGGAAGGAATTGAGTTTTTGTCACAAACTCTGATTTTCTTTTTCCTAGATCTTTGCATTTGATTGTCGGAGACCTTAGATATTTCAAACTATGATACATTTTAGATCAAATAATGATAGTTTGAAATATCAAAGGTTTATACCATCAGGTTGAAAAGATATAGCGAGTGTAAAATCATAATTTGTGGTAAAACTCAGTTCCTTTCATAAAAATGGGCAACGATATGATTTTCAATATTTTCATTCTGAATTGTAAGATTTATTAAAGGAATTCAGTCGTAAAGTTTCAAGTGACAATTCATTTAAAAGAGAGGCATGTCATATTCACAACGGCACGGTACCCTAAAACAAAGGGTTTCTGACGAAAAATGTGGGTTACCGTTGTGAATCGGGGATGTCCCTCTTTTATTAAAAGGTCACTTGAAAATACAACGAAAGTTTTTTCTAACTTCAAAAAATCTTCATTAATATACAGCCACAGAACAGAGTATACGCCTTATATCATGATGATTCAATTTTAATTGAATTATTTCAGTTTTTTAATATTCTGTTTTCAGAGAATTATATAATCTGAGCTGAAAACTTTTGAATGGAATATCCTTAAAGGGACTGTAAAGGAAAAATGAAGGGGGGTATAGGCTGAAAGCTAATCAATTTAGCTCTCGATCGCGACCCATGAAAGTTATATCTGATGTTCCTATCTCGAGAAATTGATATACAACTTGTCAAATTTATACGAAAATTAATATATATACAATTTTGTATAAAAGTAGTGGGTTTAGATAGATCAAATTCAGCAAGTAAGCAACCAATCTGAAAACGATGATATCCCAGAGAATGCTAATTGTAACTTACGTTTACTCCAATTCTAATTTTATATTTGTAATTTCTATTTTTAATAGATTTAATTCATAAAATTATTTATAAGTCCATATTACTTGACCAGAAATTCCACCAATGGCAGTGCAGTAAAGTGGTCACGTGACACAGGCGGAGACACGTGACCAGTATACTGCTCTGCCATTGGACACATGATTTAAGTTTCAGATTTTCTAAATTTTACATATATGAATTTTCATATAATTTAAACACAGTTTTATGTCAATTTCTCGAGACAGGAACATCAGATAAAACTTTCATGGGTCGCGATCAAGAGCTAAAGTGATTAGCTTTCAGCCTGTACCCCCTTTCATTTTTCCTTTAATCCCGATCAGTTAATTAATCTGGAGATTAAATACAAGAAGAGAACAAGCAATATTTAATCTAGAGATTAAGAAAAAGAGTGGATCAAGCATTAATCCCGATATCCACCATTCAAAAGTTCCCAGCTCTGAGGACAGAATTTTTCAATTGGTAATCCCTAGCTTCAGATATCTCTAATTGGTATCTTTTGAGGTTCGATGGATTAATTTAATTCCTCCTGGATATTTCTAAATGTCGATATTAGTCCCTTTAAATCAAAAGTTTCACTGTGGATATCAAGTTCGGATGTTATAGCTTAGCGCCAATTTAAACAAAAGTTCCGATCTCTGGCTGTGTTTGCTTTGGTTTAAACTAATCAACTGAGGAAGAACCCTATATTATATATAATTAAATAGATTAAGTTACAAACTTGTAAATGTAATGGGGAATCCGCCAAATTACTTTAATTACAATTGTTTTACTTCAAAACAAATATAATTCAACTTCTAAACTAATTCAGACTAAATTAGGTAATCTTTTTTACTACCTTAATTTTCATTCTGTATGTTCATTTTATCTTTTAGCGCTTTAAAGGGACTGTGGACGTAATTTAAACTGACCTTTGATTTACAACTGTTCCATTTAAACCATTTGCTGAGCTAAACTAATCTGAAAATTAATTATTTTCAATCGCGGTTTGTTTTGCCCCAGGATTATAGAAAGAATGACATTGTCAAAAATCCCAGATTTCCAGATAGAATTACGATTATATCTTCCGCAATGTCGCTCAGATACTGGGTTAAGGGGGACCATAGTGAATCGGATATGTCACTCGATAAATGGAGAGTAATTTAAAATTACGTCTATAGTTCCTTTAAAGGGAGTGTTCGCGAAAAATTAAAGGGTGTATAGGCTTGCGGCGAAAAATAAGCGCTTTTGATTGCTACTAATAGTACTTCTATCTGTTGCGTCTATAAGGAGAACATTGATAAAAACGACTAACTATATACGAATGCGTCGAAAAATAATCGATGACTATTGTCTGTAATATCTGAATCATTTGTTTAGAAATAAATTGATTTGTTTACGATCCGAGTTGAATGTTGCATCTTTCAGAATTTGTATGGACGCTGCGTTCTTCGGTGTGAGTCGTTTTTAACAATTTTCTCCTTATAGACGCAACAGATAGAATTAAGATTAGTAGCGATCAAAAGCGCTTATTTTTCGCCGTAGACCTATACCCCCTTTCATTTTTCGTGAACACCTCCTTTAAGTGTTAATTTCTGAGACTATGATAAAAACTTGCTCAATATTTTTCATGAAACCAATTAGAGAATTGATATCCGTTAAAGAAAACATGGACACTAAATTCCCTTTACAAAAGTATTGTGTCGAATGCGACTGTAATGAGTAATCACTGTAATTAAACAACTTTTGTTGGGGACCGTTGCAAAAATTATCATTGTTCTTTTTCTGGAACACCATTCTGTAAATTTACCAAATGCACTTAAAATATTTTTCATCCATTCTTGAATGTTCTACGAATATTTTAAACTAATTTAACGGCTTTATTATTCCAATATGCAGCTGGGTTAAATATTACCATGATGAGAGATATCATATTCTTCAGTAATCAGATCTGAAACATACAGATAGATTGAAGTGTTTCCCTAGTATCCGATATATGCTGGATACACAGGAACCATACTGTTTCTCCAGGTCGATTTATTGACTCAAGGTTCAATGAGATAATCAACATAATCCTTCATGAATAAGATCAGGTTGATCAATATTTAATTCAAAAATATCGTGAATAAATTCTACTCGCATTAGTTTTGTCACTGCAGCAAAATCACAGAAATGATTCTACAGAACTAACTGAAGAAATTCTGGAAGATGTCATGATAAAATAATTTTATCAGAGATTTCAGGGTTATCCTTCGAAGAAAAATGCTATAAATAAAGTTAATACTTACTGTGAAATCGACGAGAAACCAAATAAAAAACTTTCTTCTAAATTTTACGAAAATTGAAATATTTTCGAGACAACTTTTTGTAATTCTGAGCATCTCAGGGTTGGGTAAACTTAAAATATATATATATAGGTTTATGACAATTAGATGCTTTGTTGGGTAAACTTGAAATATATTTATAGAGGTTTATGACAGTTAGATGCTTGGTTAAGTAAACTTGGAATATATTTATAGAGGTTTATGACAGTTAGATGCTTGGTTAAGTAAACTTGAAATATATATAAGGGTTGATGACAGTTGGATGCTTGGTTGAGTAAACTTGAAATATATATATAGAGATTTATGACAGTTAGATGCTTAATTGGGTAAACTTGAAATATATATATAGAGATTTATGACAGTTAGATGCTTGGTTGAGTAAACTTGAAATATATATATAGAGATTTATGACAGTTAGATGCTTGGTTGAGTAAACTTGAAATATATATATAGAGATTTATGACAGTTAGATGCTTGTTTGAGTAAACTTGAAATATATATATATAGAGGTTTATGACAGTAGGATGCTTGGTTGAGTAAACTTGAACTATATATTTAGGTTCTGGTCCTGGTCTTGGTCCTGGTCCTGATACTGTTTCTGGTCCTGTTTCTAGTCCTGTTTCTGGCCCTGTTTCTGGTCCTGGTATGGTCCTGATCCTGGTCCAGTTTCTGGTCCTGATCCTGATCCTGTGTTGGGTAAACTTGAAATATACATATATAGGTTGAAGACAGTTTGATGTCTGGTTGGGTAAACTTAAAATATATATTTTGAGTAGTTCCTGGTCCTGGTTCTGGTCCTAGTTCGTGTCCTGGTCCTGGTCCTGGTTCTGGTCCTGATCCAACGTGCTGTATATATAGGATAAATAGTACTATCCTGAGAATATATAGTGTATCCAACCAATATGTATCCAACGTGCTGTATATATAGGATAGAAGTAGTACTATCCTGAGAATATATATCGTATCCAACCAATATGTATCCAACGTGCAGTATATATAGGATAGAAGTAGTAATATCCTGAGAACATATGTTGGATCCAACCAATATGTATCCAGCGTGCTGTATATATATATATATATATATATATATATAAAGGATTCAAGCAGTCATGTCCTGAGAATATATATTGTATCCAACCAATATGTATCCAGCGTGCTGTATATATAGGATAGAAGTAGTACTATCCTGAGAATATATATTGTATCCAACCAATATGTTTCCAGCGTGCTGTATATATAGGATAGAAGTAGTACTATCCTGAGAATATATATGGTATCCAACCAATATGTATCCAGCGTGCTGTATATATAGGATACGAGTAGTACTATCCTGAGAATATATAGTGTATCCAACCAATATGTATCCAACGTGCTGTATATATAGGATATAAATTGAATGTAAGATGTTTACTGAATATCAATAGAAAACTGTGGAATGTTTGACCATTAGATTTCATTTATCTCTCTACCATACACACAATATCAGATTCAATATAAAATAAACCAACTTTCTACTTTACAAGGAATAAACAGATAAAAAAATAAAAAATTGTACGCTCTTTCTCTTTCCGTGTCATCCTTACTCCACGGCTAGCCCTGAGAAACTATTAATTTTACCCGAACCCATAAAGAATTCGTCCTGACAAGTTATTCTTGGATTTTAAGCATTAAAT